TGTTGATGCGACCTTCCTAGCCGGAGATATGGCCCCATTTTAGAATAAACTTCCGTTGGGTCACTTAACAACAAATATCGCAAATCGCAATCGCAATATTTGTCAGGAAAATCGCAATTAGATTTTTTCCCAAAATCGTGCAGCCCTATTGCTAAATCACATTTCCTGTACGAAAAGCTGACTGACAACAGTAGTTTTTCCCCTTTGTCCAAAGACACCATAAGGTCCACTTGTCTCGCTATTATTCCATTACAAGGCCCATTTTAAGTTGTTGCGCAAAACAGGTGTAGCACAAAATAGATATATGAGCGTGGAAGAATTTAACCAGTGGCTCCTAATTGCCATCCTCTTTCATTGCTAAGCAGATGGTAATGTATTCCAGCTCTCGCATGGCGTGGACCAGTGGGAATCTTTTGGGATTCTAAGGATAGGCAAAGATCTCGCCTTCTTTCAGACACGCTGCGTTTCCGTATCTCACATTCTTTCCCATGAAACATTGATTATGCTCTTCACTTGATATGTAGGCCAAAGCCAGAGCAGATATTTTCTCCCATAACCTTTTTGTCCCATCAATGGAATTCTTTCATTAGTTGGCAACCAATGTGTTCTCTGTGCGTGTGCAATGCCCCTTTGAAAGATTAGTTGTTTTGAACCTGCTGCTGGACGCCATGATTTATGCATTTCCAATAACAGCTAAATTGAGTCATTTGCACTTAAACTAAGGCCATAAACCCCATAATGAAGACATTGATTTGAGAATTGGGTTCTTATTATGCCAATTACGTGTTTATGTTATACTGAAATGATGTGATGTGTTTCCTTTATGTTGCAGGTGAAGCAGTGGCAGCGGGTGATGCCCTTTGTGAGATTGAGACCGACAAGGCTGTTGTCACCCTGGAATCTAGTGACGATGGTGTCATGGCTAAGATATTGGTAAGTAATCAAAAACACACTTAAACCTCTTCTAGAAGATGATGGGTTTTGGGATTACAGATATATTTAACTATATAAATTGTGGTTAAGTATTCAAATGCTTTGTATCGAAATGTGTGTCCGCAACAGGATTTTAAATGCTGCTTTTTCTCATACTCGTTAAGTCCTTTTAAAGAACATTCTTGTTCTATTATTTCCCTTCTTAATATGTTAAATCAGCAATTTGCAGTCGTAACAGGTATGTTTTTGGAAGGATTTTATATGTCCATAGAATATATTCCTGTTAATATTTGTTTGTGAGTGCTTCAGGATTTCCTCCTTGCCTATGCTAATTGGATACGCTTGTTAAATCTGCTGCATAGTGACAGCAACGCTTTGACAAGGTGTCTATAGTGACAAATACTTCTCTCCTTCCAACCAACAATGTGCAATTTGTGTTAATTTTTAATAGGCGGCCGAAGACGCAGCGATCAGTTTTTCTTTCATCAGTTCTCCACCACATGTTCGTCCCCCTGAACAGAAAGATGAAGATGTTTTATCTCCTCCTTTTTTATTGAAGGATCCCACTGAAATCTTCAATATATTACATGGGAGGGAGAGGGAGGATTTACCTGTCGTTTGAGCAAGATTTGACTTTTGTTCAGTTTCCCTATTGAAAAAACGATGGGATTGCACTGAGATATTTCTGCATGTATTCCCTTGCATGCACAAACCCTTGCTCCATGTTGCTGATTATTGCTTTAAACACAACTTGTTCCCTAGCCATGACGTTTTGGACATGTTCACAATTTGGGGACGCCTGAGAGGACGGGGGTTTAATTAGCCAATGTGTCTGTTTGCGCAACCTTTACACAAAAACAAATACACAATCTGCACGCGCTAATGAGCATAAGAAATGTGCACGCAGATGCATTGTTCATGAACAAAAACACAACCGTTTCTCACATATTCATGTACGGACATAAACTTCTAAATTGATCAATTACTGAAATAAGCGGAGGGGTCATTGTCACTTATATAAACTGCAGGATTATACCTCTTGTTTTTGTCCTGCCTTTCACTTGCTTCTGTTAGTCCACATTCCCTTACTCCATCCTTGTCTTTGCCACTGTGTGGTTGAGGTAGTTTCCATAGCAACCACCCAAGAATTGGGGGTAGGGGCTTTAGAGCTGTAGCTGGCAGAGAAAGATGGTCTGCATTAGATAAACCCCCGAGCTCTCTTCCTTTCACTCGGTGGAAGAGAGTGTGTGTATCGTTAATGTGAAGAACAGCAGCTAGTGGCAATATTTCAGAGATTTCTGCACCATTACATGGCGCTGGCAATGTGGCATACACTTTGTCTGGGTCAGTGTGTTAGATCTTACTAGTGTAATTGTCTCTCACTCTAATTTAGAGGCTACCATAATTACCAGCCTGTGGCCAAACGCCTGGGCAGGCTTCAGGAGGAGTTGGACTTCCTGTGCTCCTCAGGGGTTATTTATGGGGGTCAAGTACTGCTCTGGCCCTCTACCAATTACCAACCATAGCTGTTGGGGGTGAGAGAATAGGGGGATAGATTCTGCTCATATTGGGAGGTGGATGTTGGGGGTAGGGGGACCAGCAGCATGAGCACAGATTACTGTATCTCATCAGACTCTTACTGCCTTGCTTCAATCTGAAAATCAGCCCTGGGTACAATCAATCGTAGCCTTCGGGAAATGACACGCATGTATTTACAGATACAGTGGGGCAAAAAAGTATTTAGTCAGCCACCAATTGTGCAAGTTCTCCCACTTAAAAAGATGAGAGAGGCCTGTAATTTTCCTCCTTGGTATACCTCAACTATGAGAGACAAAATGAGAAAAAAAAATCACATTGTCTGATTTTTAAAGACTTTATTTGCAAATTATGGTGGAAAATAAGTATTTGGTCACCTACAAACAAACAAGATTTCTGGCTCTCACAGACCTGTGACTTCTTCTTTAAGAGCCTCCTCTGTCCTCCACTTGTTAACTGTATTAATGACACCTGTTTGAACTCGTTATCAGTATAAAAGACACCTGTCCACAACCTCAAACAGTCACACTCCAAATTCCACTATGGCCAAGACCAAAGAGCTGTCAAAGGACACCAGAAACAAAATTGTAGACCTGCACCAGGCTGGGAACACTGAATCTGCAATAGGTAAGCAGCTTGGTGTGAAGAAATCAACTGTGGGAGCAATTATTAGAAAATGGAAGACATACAAGACCACTGATAATCTCCCTCGATCTGGGGCTCCACGCAAGATCTCACCCCGTGGAGTCAAAATGATCACAAGAACGGTGAGCAAAAATCCCAGAACCACACGGGGGGACCTAGTCAATGACCTGCAGAGAGCTGGGACCAAAGTAACAAAGGCTACCATCAGTAACACACTACGCCGCCAGGGACTCAAATCCTGCAGTGCCAGACGTGTCCCCCTGCTTAAGCCAGTACATGTCCAGGCCCGTCTGAAGTTTGCTAGAGAGCATTTAGATGATCCAGAAGAGGATTGGGAGAATGTCATATGGTCAGATGAAACCAAAATA